AGAGAGAGAGAGAGAGAGAGAGAGAGAGAGAGAGAGAGAGAGCAGCAGCAGCAGCAGCAGCAGCAGCACGAGCTGGAGGCAGCGGGCGTAGTGGCCGCGGCCGTGGGAGGGAGGGAGGGGGCGCACGACAACTACGCCCTCTCCCTCTTTCTCTTCATCTCACTATCTACCGCGCGCGCTCTTGGGGGCGTGTCCGAGTGAGCGAGCGAGATCGAGATCGAGAGAGAGAGAGAGAGAGAGAGAGATGGCGGCTTGAACTCACCGACTGGCTGGACCGTTGCCACTCTCGGATGTTCACTGCCCAGGACGACCGCCAGTGGCAGTTACCGGCTTCAGAAAAAACGAGATGCCGGATCTGTGGGTGGAACCCTTTATTAATGGCGGGCTCCACCTGCGTTTCCACTTCTTCATTTTTTTGCTGAAAAAATAAGCTATATTCTTCGCTCATCTATCTCTTCGTCTTGCCAGTACTCGATTATCTCATCCTCTCGCTAGTCTCTGTATAGTACGGGGGAACACCAACAGTAGTGGTGCAAGCGCAAGGCTGTACCAGCAGTTCCTCAGCACGCTGATGGGGAAATCGGCGGTGCTAGTGCCGACCAATGGCCACTCACTGCACCTCCCGCTAACACCCCCCCCTCCCCCAACCCCACATGGCGGCGTCTAATGGCCGATACTGTCGCTGCATAGCAACCAACAACATAAGTCAAGGTCCTGCCAAATTGCCAACGCTGGCTTGGGGGGCCAACGGGTTATCTCTAGGTGGTACAACACCAAGCTCGCCCAGGCAGGTACGTGAGGCAGTCGGGATTGAACCCACGACCTGCAACTTCTGTGGCTTACTAACTGAGCTGCGCCCGGACCACTTCTTTTCACTTTCCAAAGTAGCGCGTGGATTTCCTGAAAGTAGGAGTTTAGCTACCTTAGTTAGGCCGCGTTCAGAGCAGGGAAACGGATTGGAAGTGTGCCGGCCTGGTATATTTTCCCAAGAATACCTTGGAAAAAACAAAAAAAATCAAATTAAAAAAAAAACAATTCTGTAAAATGGATCAATGTATCTGGGTGCCATTCTGCCTGCCTTGAAATGAAAGAGCACGATTTGCTCCTTCTGCAGGGGGCTGTTTCCATGGGTGGAGCCCCGGCTCTGCCGCCTTTCTATGTTTGGACCCCACAAATTATTAAGGGTTGGACCCCACAGCCGCGCCGAAAGAATTTTGGTTCCAAAACCAAGTCGGCAGAACCCCACACAGAGAGGATTCTATGTTTGGAAACTTCGTAGGAGCATTTCCGCTCTGGTCACGGGCCCGTGGTACCCACTGGCGACAGGATATCCTGGTGGCAATGGAAGGGTAGGGGGGGGTCATCTCCTCCAATGCCAACAGAGGGTGGGGGCGGCATTGGTGGGCGGACTTGCAGTGGTCCAATGTTTGGAAACTTGGGAGGAGCATTTCCACTCTGGCGCGGACCCTTGGTAGGCCCTGGCAACAGGATATCCTGGTGGCGACGGAAGCTTAGGGGGGCGCATCTCCTCCGATGCCGACGAAAGGGTCAGGGGGGGCGTTGGTGGGCCGACTTGCAGTGGTCCAAGCAGGTGATCCGCAGTCGTGGGCAGACAAGAAGTGGGTGTCACACAAGAGGAAGGCGTGGCTGTTTGTTTCTTTTTCTGTTTTGTTTGGGGGTTACCCAGAACGACCCTTCTTACAGCTACAAAGGGTCCAACACGTTGCATTGGGGTCTTCCAGCCTCGATCAGGAATGCGAGTACGGTTCCGTGGGTTCATCCAGGACCCTTTGGGAGGCGAAGGCGGGCGACAAGAAAAGGGAGGGAAGAAAGAACAGAAAAATGCACGCGTCGGCTCATAGAACGGTTTGAATTCAAAATTCAAAAGGTTGGGGAGGAGGGGGGTGGGGTGGGGGAGTGATGGGCGGCGGGAGGAATTTGAGATCGAAAATAGAACGTGAACAGCAAGGAGAAAAACAGAAAAAAAGGGACATCTGCCATATCCCAAATCCGAATGATGATTGTCCCATGCACGTCCCATGCAAGCGGCATTGTGACGCCCAACCTCACGCCCAGCGTGACTTCCTAATCGCCGTGGTCAGAGTGAAATGGGGGCCCGGAAGTGCGAAAAAGGGTGGTGCCAAGGATTTTAGGAAAGTGGGGGTGGAGTCCCAGGTCAGAACTGGGATCTCCTGTGGCGAGTCCCAGGAATAATTGTGCAGGAGGATAAGCGTTGATCGCGTTTGGCTTTTACACCTCGAGGGATGTCATCACCCTCCCCGCAGGTTTTGTTGCCGAGGCCGGGCTTGGATTTGGTGTACTGGCAGGATGCTATGGGTGTCGCGCTGTCTGATTAATCGCTGGCGTCGCTCGTGGCAAGCCTCGAAATCTGATGAGGCTCGCCTCAGGGGGAGGCTGTGCGCTCGTTGTTCGGCCTCCGTCTGGGTTCGTCGAACGAATCCCGCGGCTCGATGCTCGCTGTCTTGTTGGCACTCAGAGCACGGGGTTCGGGGCCTGTACGGGGTGATCACGTGCCACGGGGCAGCCGTTAGGCAATGAGAGGGCAGTACGAGGCGGTAAGGAGGGAAGTGTGTCTCAATGATGACCACACCAGGTTCGCCGATGACATGGCTCGTGTGTGAACTGGGGAATTGGGAGGGAAAAGGGATCGCGCTTAAGGCTCGTTCAATGTCCCACTCATAGACATGTTCGTTTCCAGTCCGAAAGGGGAATTTCGGAGGGTTGGGTCTGGGTCATGCGAGGAGACAGGCGTTTTTCCCCTCCCAGTATTCTCGGAACCGTCGATGTCTCAGGCTTTCCCAATCCGTGACGTGGAAGGGAATCCCATTATCCATGTTGTCGAAAATTTGCAAGTTAAACATGGATTCGAGCGTGGGTCTTGTCAACACACGTGTAGGCGATGCCCTTTTTTTGGTCGAGCCTACACGTATGTGCACAAGGTCATGTTCGCAATCGGTTGGATCGGATCGACTGGCTGTTCTCTGGTCGGGTGATCACGTATTCAGTCGACATGCTAGACCGACACGTGACACTTACGCTCTCGGGCTGTGTGTCCCCCCGTACAGATACGGGGAGTACGAACGGTCGTACGACCGTACGTACGGGCCCCCAGACAGTCATACGGGCCGTACAACATGTTTTCGGCTATGAAACACCCGCGGACACGTCCATGGGTCTGATCTCAGTTGGAGGGCGCAGATGGGGCGCGTCCGCGCCCGACCTGGTCCGCGCCGCGGACCCGATTTTACCAGAATTTTCCTAAGTTAAATAATAGGTTAAAAAATATGTATATATACAGGGTCACCTGCCCGTACGTACGGAGGTCCCCGGGCAGACCTCCGTACGTACTGGCGTTCCGGGGCCCGTACGGGGTCCGAACCCGACAGCATTCGGCCCCCGCCAAAAATTATTTCGGGATCTAACAATAATTATTTTTTTCTGAATTGTTTTTTGTGAGTTCTCTATGACGCGAGGTACATTCCTGTAAATTTTCAATTCATTTGGCTAAGCAAAACAAGAATTAAAAATCGCCAAAGATGGCGGTGTCAAAACGTGCTCACCCACGTATTTTTTCACTTTTTACTATTTCTTTTCACTTTAGTTCGGGGTCTAAAGAATTTTATTATTTAAAAAAAAAATAATAATTGGGTTTTGTATTATGTGAAGTACATATCTGAAAATTTTCAGGGCATTTCGCTATGTCAAACAAAAATGAAAAATCGCCAAAGATGGCGGTGTCGAAAACATGCTCGCGCACTCACTAAATTTAATTCTCTTTTTATTTTTATTTATTTTTATTATTAGTATTTGTTTTCCTTATTTTTTTTAATTTTTAATTTGGTAAGGAATACGGATGTAATGCTCAGACAAATCTTGTTTAATTTATTTTTGTCGATAACATATTTTTTTTCAGATTTTTTTGATGACCTTTTTTTTTTTTTTTTTTTTTTTTTGCGTTCGGCCCGAACGGCCGAACGCATCCCCAAGGGGTCCCATACGTTTAGGGCGTTCGGGTTCGGGCGTTCGGACCGTCCCAAACGCTGGTTACCCTGTTTGTGAAGATATATGGGGTTGTAGGAAATTTTAAGCCCTACAACCCCATTTTTTGTTTTTGGAATTCAACTTTGTTTAGGATTTAAAAAAAATCAAAAACTAAATTCAATTTAAAATAAAATAAAAAAACAAATATAAAGCAAAGCTGGATTTTTTTTGGTCATTTTTTATCGTGAGATATATGGTCTCTAAGTTCACTTGTATTTTTTAAGAAATGAATTTCTTTTTTTTGCAGGGGTATGAGGTGTTTAAAAAACATGCAGATGCAAATTTTGAAAATAAATAAAGAAAAAACTTCAAAAAAGGGGATTGATTGATTGATTGATTGATTGATTGTGAGTGAGTGAGTGAGTGAGTGAGTGAGTGAGTGAGTGAGTGAGTCAGTGTGTGTGTGTGTGTGTGTGTGTGTGTGTGTGTGTGTGTG